GGGGCGCTACCAGGGTGCTTTCAAGACAAATCCCGGTTGGGCCCAAGAGGGCTCCCACAGGTTCCAAGAGACCCCACGAACATTTGCAGAGGATTGGGGAGGAAGATGGTGAGGAGGATGGGGACAAGAGCAGGCTCATAATGCAACAGCGATGCTGCAGTACAGCATCCCGTCCCAGGTTCCCTCCTGTGCAGGTCCTTTACTAGCCTTCCGTTTGACTGCACGGAATTTCCCCTTGAAAGACGGGCACCTTATGGGCATGCCGGTCATGCCCGTTTTAGCAAAGAATTGCTTTGCTCCTTCAAGCAAAATATTGAACGAATGCGACGGGGTAAGCCCTAAGAGGCCCCCAGGACGCCCCAAAAGGCCCCCACGAGGCTCCCAAGCGGCGCCCTACCCCCAGGAGGCCCCCGAGAGTTTCGTCGTTGTGGTCGTGGTTGTCGCCGCCATGCAGGGTCGGCGGCACTGGCCGTAAGGCCTTCGCAATGTAACGAATGCGACGGGGTAGGATCGGCCAGTTCAAGGATGTGTCCAGCGAGAACCTTGTTTTGAAAAGGAGCCTGTACAGCCTGTCACGTCGTCAAATTTGGTGAAGTCGCACGCGCGAGCCACATTTGCAAGGATCCGCACAAATTTTCATGTTTTCCGCTAGTGTCGAACAAATCTCAAGCGAGAGCATCAGCATGAAGCGGAATGTTATTCATTCTTGAACGATCTTGCAGCAGTTTGGGACGAATGACGAATGTGCATGGCGGTAGGTCGATACATCTTCTTGACAATGAACCGCACTTCTTCTTTCTAAATGTTGCGCACGTGGATGTCGAATGGTCGTGACGCCAAGGCGAGAACTCCTTGAAAACGTACCGCCCTCCATCCTTGAAGTTGCCGTAAGATGTTCCGACGCATGTGTGCGGCGCTAGAGCCCCAGTGCGACCAGGGCTTCCGGCCTTCAGCCGTGGACTCGTTGGGAGCTTTGGGCCCAGTAGTTTGTGAGGATGTCGCAAGCAAAACGCCCGCGCCGGCCCACGGATAGGTCCTCTGGATGGGGTATTCATCGAAGGGCTGGCGACTAACCCTCCGACGGAGCTTGCCCATCCCCCCACCCCCCTCCACCTCCTCCTCCTCCTCCTCATCCAAGCCCCTTCCACCCGTTCCGACAGCACGTGCCCGACCCCCCCAGCGGACGCAAGGGGGGGGGGGGGGGGGGGGGGGGGCGATTATTATGCCATCCGGAGTATGGTGGTGTTGCAGGGAGGAGTTGTTCGTATGGCGATCGGCGAGAGGAGCAACCGCGAGACATCGAAGAGCGTGGATGCTGTTTTTGTTCGGGCGTCCGCGGCCCCCTCTGGCGTGGGCTCCGCCGCGCCCTCTGCCCCCATGATGGCGACGCGCAGACGGGGGTAGGGGGAGAGGGGGAAGGCGTCGTTTAGGCGCCCCTGCTTCGCAGAAGGCGTGTGCCTTATCTTTAGATGTAGGGCCGGTGCCTTCTATGAAGCAGCCTCCCTGTAAGAAGCCTGCCCCCTCCTCCCCCCTACCCCCGCGTGCGTGCCGCCAACCATCATTGCCGACGAGGCCCCTGAGACCGCCCAGCGAGCGCCATTCCGTCCAGGAGGAGGACCCCAGAAGGCCCCCTACAGAGGGCCGAAGCCATGGAGACCGGGTCCTGGTGGAGACGCTGCAGAAACCCCGAGGCGTCCTCCAGATGGCTTGGAAGGGCTCCCCCCGCAGGATCCCCGACCGTCTCAGAGGCCTCTTGCGCCTGATGGCCCAGAAGCGTTCCGGGGCTGCACAAGGCCCCCCCTTTCGGCGGCGAGCGAGGGCGGGAAATGAGAAGGAAATGCCTTGTCAGAAGGCGGCGGGAGTTCTCAGAAGCCTCCGCGCCTCTGAGAAGCTCTCCGTGCCTTGGGGGAAGACTTCTGGGGGACGCCCGAGCTTTCCGAGAAGGCCCGCCCCTTTTCACTTCCCCCCGGGCTCGCCGCCGACACGCGTTTCGAAGGAGCCCCTCGACCCCCCAGCAGCAGCAGCGGCAGCAGAGGCAGCAGGCGCATGCAGCACCAGGGCCAAGACACGGCCTCGGACGAGGACTGGGGCCACGGACTGGACCAGGGCCAAGACGAGACGAAGCATGATACATACCTCGATGGGCTAATTTTCCGACACCCGACGTGGGTCGAGTATTTCCCCCTGGCATCAAGGGGGCGAATGTACGCCCAGCCCACGAGTGACGGAGCCTCCTGGAGACGACCCGGCGAGTCCACCCCCGCAACTTCCGTGCTGGCCGTTGCATCGGGAAGCGGGAGTTGCGGCAGAAACGGCCGAGCACAAGCCAAATATGAATCCCTCGCCGCATTTACGCGCTTGCTCGGCGCGAAGCGGGGGGGGGGGGCGGGAGGGCGATGGCGCATTCCGCGACGCGGTTTGCGCCCTGTGTGGCGCCCTGCCACGAAACGGTAGGCAAATGCGAAGCGTTGCGCCCTGTGCGGCGCCCGGCGACGCAACGCGCCCTGCGCCCTGCCACTGGAAGGCAGGCACTCGGCCCCGCAGGGACGTAACCTCCCGAGCTTTGACCCAGAGGCGCAGCCGACAAAGCCGGGCAAGGCCGCCTGCGGACCAATGCCAGCACGGTAGGCACTGGCAGCGCTGTTTGTGTTCTTGATGAGTGAAACATCTGCGCTTCGGCTTCTTCCTAATCGGATCAATATCGCGACGTGAGTCGATGCTTTTCCCTAGCATTACCCGGATTACCCCCAGCCCGCCCGGGAAGGAGCCTCCAGGAAACGACCTGGTGAGTCCCCTCGAAGCAAGCCCCCTCGAGGCGGCGTTCCGCGCAGCGGCGTGTGTCGGGCCTGCGCGGATATTTTTGTTTAAACGGGCTCCGAGCGAACATGCGGATGCCTTCTTCACTGGCAAGCGTTTGCTCGGAGGTCCGTCGTCCGGTTCGCAGAGTAGGTTGCTTGGCTCTCAACGAAACGCTGCGGTAGCGTATCTGGAGAAGTGTCGGCACAGGCATGACGCATGACGTCCTCCGAGTTCCACCCTCCTTGCCGCTGGACCACGTGCGGGGGTAATTAGCTTCGCTGCGTGCGCGAACCATTCCGTTCTGCCACTACGAAACGAACGCGCGCTAGCAGCCGTTTTTTTAAGAGACGACACCGCTTTGCGCCGCGAATCCGCGCTAACCGGCTGGAGTTTGAAACTGGTTGTGGCGCAGAGGAGGAGAGATGCGCCCGCCGCGTTCGCGGCCTTCAATCCGCTCGGTCATGGAGGAGTTGCGCCAGGGATTGCCCAACAATGGGCTTGAACGGAATGAAACACCATTCGCGCGTGGGTCGTTCTTTTGTCCCCTGACGGAACAGCTCGCGCAGGAGGCGGTAATGTGCGCGCCCTGAACGTGAGAGCTGATCGTTTCCGAAACGCGGGAGGGTGCTGGAATCGACTTGCCGTTCGAAGCCGTGAACATGCACGGACAGAGGTTTCGCCCAGGTCCGGATGGTGCTCTGTTTTCGCCCTGCTCGCAGGATCGGGTGTTGCTAGAAGTGCCCCTGGCCCAAGGTGCCCCCAGCTTTTCGCTCCATTTTGCAGCCCCCGGGGTCCTCTGGGCCTCGTGAGGGGTGCCTTGGAGGCCGCCTGGGCCACCCCGAGATACCTGGGGGAACCTTCGGCCAGGGGTACTTCTGGCAACACCCGACAGGATGTCTTGCGCGGCGTCCATGGGCGCGCTCCGCGCGGACAGAGCTGCCGTCGGCGCGGATGCCTGAAGAACGCCGCCCCGAACCGGCGCGAACTGGAGGTCCGCGTCCCCCGCGGCAGAAGCACCGTCGAAGGTGCGAGGCAGTCAGGCCGCCTGGCGGGCCAGCACAGCGGGCGCTGCCGAGGCCCCGGATTGAGGGCGGATGGCCCGCCGACGATCCGGCGACGGCGCTGAGGGCAACTCGACGCCCCGCGGCGCTGGGGCGTTCGTCTGGCCAGAGTGGTTCGTTCAACAAATGCACGTTTAGAGTTCGAGCCCACATGGCCGCGGAAGGCGTGGGGCGGGGGTTGGGCGAGCACCCGGGGTTGGAAATGTCATCGGGGATGAAATCGCCATCCTGCGGCGGCGCTGCGTCGCCTGCGCCCTCGATGGGAAGGGCCCCCTCGCTGCGCCTCGCGAGAGCTCGCCACGGGCGCCAGTTTCGACCGCGAGTGTCCCCGTTTGGATCGGACTGCGAGTTTACATGGGCCCCTGACTTTCGCGCGTCCTGTTCGGCCCCGGGGGGCGGGCCCGAGCTGGCCATCTTGCTTTTGAACATGCCACAAGTGTCAGCAGCAGCAGCGGCAGCAGAAGGAGCAGGCACGTGCAGCACCGGGGCCAGGACACGGGCGGGGCCGAGGCTGGGACCATGGATGTGGCCAGGGCCGAGAGGAGACGAATCATGATGAGTTGGTGCAGAAGGCAGCCGCACAGAGAAATCAGCTGCGCGAGCATGAGCATGAGACCGAGCAGAGGAGGATCTGTTGCTGAGGGAAAGAGAACAATGAGGATGGGACACGCGAGGAACAGGACCAGCCTGGACAGAAGCAGGACAAAGAGCAGGAAAGTGAAGATCATACCAAGGGCAACCGAGAGGATGGAGCCAGCAGAGGAGCTCGAAACCGAAGAAGAGATCGGTGTGAACTGGGTGGGAGGTGGTGCCCATCCAAAACGCTGTGCCTTCATGAAACGTGTGTGTGTGTGTTCGTGTGTGTGTGAGTGTGTGTGCGTTTGCGAATCGCGTCATTTGTTCTTGTGTCGTTTGACTGTTTCAGGACGTTTTGAGAAGCCGGGATTCGTAGCAGGTTTATCAGATGGTTTTGGTAACCACGGTGAGACTGATAGACGAGGGAGCTGACAACCCAAAGTCGTATTTCACAACCTCGGGAGGCTTGAAAAAACGTACTGGTGCCTCTTCGACCAGATAACCCATTGGCAGAAATTACATGCCACGCGCGTGTTTGTCATTCCCCCCTTGTTGCCGGCCAAGGCGTCTTCGAGTACCACGCCGTCTGCCGCCGCAAAGCCATCGGGTGCCAAATTGTTTTGTTTCGTCCCAGCGCGAAGGCATGAGCTCTTCAATTTCCTCTCTCCTGGGTTCTGTCCTCTCTGTATGGCATCTGCGTGCGTCTCTTCTGCGATTTGTCTGGATGTGTTCGCATTTGGAACCCAGGAGCGACGCGGGGTGAACGTTCATCCAGAACGGGACGATCATTCCAGCAACCGGCGGACAGGGCACATGCTCGCCCTTTCCTTGGCGACGCGAGCGAGAGGCGGCAGATCTGCGCCTTACCCGAGAGGTGGGCAGTTGCACGCTGGCGCGTGCTGTAATTTCGTTCCCTCCTCCGACGCGTCTTGCGTGGACGGGGTCGCGGCGCTGGCGGCATCGGTCTCTTGGCTCGCCCGCCGCCATGACCGACTCATTCAGGCCGCTTGCTCGGTGAACGCCCGCGGCATGGTCTAGCCGTCCAGCCCCCCTCCCGCGCGCAGGTGCCAGCCAGCCGTCCTCGGCCGCAGCGGCAGGCGCGCTCGTGCTGTGCTCTCCTGCTGGGGGGGAGGAGGGGGAGGGAGTAGCTGCGACGCGGAGCAGCAGGACGACTTTACGAGGACGTGACGGAGGCGGAGGGAAATCATTCATGGTTTAAGATGAGGCAAGGAGCAGGGTAGGGCAAGGAGGTGGAGGGAGAAGCTACGACGCGGAGGAGCAGAACGACTTGATGAGCACGTGACGGAGGCGGAGGGCAAGTCATTCATCGCTTAAGTTGAGGCAGGGCATCGCAGGGCAGGGCAGAGCTGGACGCATGGGGAGTGACGCAAGACAAGGCAAGCCCAGATTGGAACAAGTGGGTGGCGTGCTAAGGAAGACGACGGTTTTGCCAGGCTGCACAGATGTCTCTTCTGTAACATGCGTGGGATGACATGTATCAGGCGATCGCAGACATGGATCAAGGTGGCGTGGATGCGCGACGGGTCCCGTTTTCAATGGGACATCCCGGATTTCCGCCGCCGAACGAGGCGGCACCGGCCACATTCTGAGGGAGGGCCCCCTACCCCCGGTCCATGGATTGGGCGACCGCGCGCCAAACCCATGGATCGCTAGTTCATGTTCGCGCGCCCCCGACAAAGGCCTCTTTTGTAACATGCGTGGGACGACATGTACGAATATGTATAGCGTATAGTAGCCACATACACCTGTGGCACGTAAGTCATGGCACCGCACATCAATCACTGTGCGGACGCGATGGTGAAACGGATATGGTGGGAAAAAGCCAGGGTAGGGCAGGGGAAGGCGAATTAACAGGGCCTGGTAGGTCTGGTCAACGACAGTTGCACGTGAAAAGGCCGCAGATCGATGTGACACATTGGAGGTTACTATCAGGCTGGTCAGTGAGATCAGGGTGGTGTGCGAGCGTGCCAACGTGTCCCGACCAGGCCCCGCTAAATTTGTCGGGCAACCCACAACCAGGCAAGCCTGGCCCTGCCTTGTTTTCTGGTCTCGGACCTGCAGCAGTGGCATCTGCCCTGATCAGTCGATGGAATCGCTTGTAGATCTTCCTTCCTGGTGGAAGGCAGGCACACTGATGAGCCAGAGCCCATTCCCCCCCGACAGGTAGAATGATGCTGCCTAGAAGTTTTTGACTGGTCCGAGCCAGGTGAGGCAAGAAAACGGGGTCGTCTGCACCGACATTGGCGCGTAAGGCTGCCCGCGTAAAGTCGCGCGGAAGTGTCCTCGTCTCCAAAGCAGCGTGCCGCGCTGGCGGCCCGCGTGAGCCATCCTGTAATGTCGCCACGTCATCCCGCGTAAGGCCCGCTTCTGGTCGTCGCCCGGGCCCGTGCTTCGGAATCTCCCCCGCACAAGATGGACCGTGGCGACGATCCCTGGTCTCGTTTGCTCGGGGCTGGGACGAGAACGAATCCGTTCCCAGAGCATTCTGTAACGCTCTCAGATCGTCCCGGAACCTTCTGAGAAGGCCGCGGCGCCCGAAACATCCTCCAGAGCCGCCAGATCTCAGAGACCCTCGATTTATCCTCACCCGATTTTATCCTCGTCCTGGCTTCGTCTCGCTCGCCGTCGCCCTGTCGTGGAGGGCTCGAGGGGGGCGAAGGCCAACAAAAGATGAGGTCCCCTGCCGTTCCCAGGACGGCCACTACCCCCGCGGGAGCGTGCTGAAGGAGGGAGTCTCCGGAGGACAACGATTACGCCAAACGTGCGCACCCAAGCCCCAGGGATGTCAGGAGGGAGAAAGCACACTGACACAAATGATCGGCGATTCCAAGGAACATCGGGGAGATGGGTCCTCAGGTCCTCAGCAGACTCAAAGGATCGGCGATGTCAAGAAACATGGGGAAGATATGGGAAGTGGATGGGAAGACGAGCATCCAGACAATGTGGAACATAGGGGGATCCTGGGACTTGTGTCTCTTTTTATTTGTGTGTCCCTGTGCCCCTTTTCAGATCCTCGCCCTCGATCCGAGGCCAGAAGTGAATGCATGGCCACCGCCCAGGACACCGATCTCCCAGGACTCTTCAGGACGCGGTTGATCGGAGTTTCGGGGGTGAGGTCGAAGTAGAACGGAGACCCCCCACCAGGAAACTGGTCTCGGTTTCGTCTGCGTAACGCGCGTTGCGTTTCGTGCATGCACCAACGCCCTATCGCCGGCGCAGTGATTGTGCCTAGCCGCCGACAGAAAAAGTGCGTAACGCGCGCGCGGGCGAGGCGAAGTTGCGTGCACGGGCGAGAGGAATGATCCCGTTTTTGCCACTCCTAAATCAGAACAATTGTTTCTTACACCCTCAGTTGGCGCATTTGGCCGGGGTTGTCCTGCTGTTGTCCCGTGGTATTCCCATGAATTTGCCATAGATGGACATAGATCTACATGCATATTATTTTTTGTTTGTATACAGATCTACACGTACATTTATAGTGTGTTCGATTGAAGTGTTGTGATATCGATAGACCGCGATATCGATACGTCTTTACAGGTAAAAAATCTGCCGTTCTGTATACATAGATGTATGTGGTGATATCGATCGATGCATAGTTCGTGCTACCGACAGGTAAGTAACGATTTATATGTAGTGGTATCCGTGGATAGACCGACTGTCCTGATGGTTGTCCCACTGGTTGTCCCCGTGTGGGTCCCCATTGTAGATTGGTTGATCGATAGCGGGATCGGTGGACAGATAGTGATGGACAGATAGTGATACCGTGTGGTATGTTGATCGGCAAACGGATTGATAGTGTGGTCTATCTACATGTAGTTGGTGATACCGATACGTACGAATACATCTACAAGTGTGCAGTGATGTTGGCATATTGGTTGTTATGCCAACATGTTCATAACGTGTGAGGTCGACAGCTCGGCATTTGTATACGTAAATCGCACAGACCTGAATGTACACAGACAGTGACACCGACATACAGATCAATCGATCGAATTTGCTCGATGAATGCGGACGACTGTTCCCCAGCATTCTAGGTATATGTATATTCTCGAGCCCTGGGCGGTTGGCACATACACGTTTGTCCGCTCCCTCGTGGGGTCGTGGGACCTCGACTCTCCGGCGGCGGCTGTGATCTGAATTTTTCACTGACTCTAGTGCGCCCAGAGTCTCGCGCGGCCCGTCGGCTCTGCGGTCGCGCCCGCCTCCGCCAGCGCTGCGAACAAACAAAGGATACGGTGGGCTCGTGTCTTGCCGATGCGGCTGCGACCCCGCCGCGAGCGTTCAAGATTGAGCGCCGCCAGTGGCTCAGAATCGGCCATCATGTTCTGGCGAGAAGTGCCGCCGATCGTCCAAGGTTGAACGATCCGCCCAGTGTGATAATTCGGCTCTCTGGCGGCCAGGACGATCTAGGCAACCTGGGAACGCCATCGGCGAGGTACAGCTGCTGGAAAAAGCACGTCCTGGCTGGACCATCGCCGCAAACCAGCGCAAACATCGGAAAACCTCGAACCTCGAACTCGGCCCTCCTCTGACGACCATTGCCGACCGCGGTCGTCACGACTCGCGCTTGCCGCAAGTCCTGGCCTCGGCGTTCGATCCGAAATCTCCGACGCCAGCTCGTCGCCAAGAGGAAAGGAGGCCCGCAGAGCGCGCGCCCTGCCCGCGCCCTCCTGTGCAGCGGGCCTCCCCTGCCGCCCGTTTTCCTCACCGCCCGCCCCTCCGCGCGCGCTCGGGCGGCGTCGCCCTCGACACCGCCCCTCCTGCATCGTGCATCGCGGTCGCCAGGGCGATCACCTGCGGCGACCCCAGACCCTCCTCGCGTTGTGAGACAGTAGCGACGGGAGGTTTTTCGTCACTTTCGGTCTCCGAGGGCCCTTAGCGGGCCTCGCGACCGTCACAAAACGACTCAGGATGAAACATCGGTCCCGGGGAAGGGCTCCGGACCTCCGGGGGTCGACTTGGCGAACATATCACGACACGCCCCCGTGGCTTGGCTAGGGAGGCATGTACACCGCTCTTGGGCCCAGGATGGGCCTGGGCAGTGGAGGGGATAGGTACTCGTCGCCCTATAGGAGGAGAGGGGACCAGCACGTGACTGAGGGGCAGCACGCTCCTGCCGCCCGGCACTTCGGCCCCGCCCCTCGGAGACGGGCTCCCGAGCGAGATCCTGGGGACTGCGGAGCACAGGCAAGCGTTCCGAAGCCCCCGATTCTAAATTCATCCTTAACAAGGGGAGGGAAAGGAGGATGGGCAGGATGAGTGGCGAGGATCATCGAGGATCAAATAGTCCCTAGCCCTAATAACATAGCGAAGACGTGGCCTCACTGGGGTCCCCGTCTTCGTATTTGGGAGAGTAAGTCTGGGCGATTTGGTGTGATACATGTGCCACTATATCTGCAGGAAAAGACCCCTTATCCCTAATGTTCTTGGCCTCCTAATTTCTCCGAAAGGGCTGGGGGTACTAATTTCTCCCAAAGGGTTGGGGGTATTTTTTATTTCGAGGGGGAGGAGGAGGAGGAGGGGGAGGAGGAGGAGGAGGAGGAGGAGGAGGAGGAGGAGGAGGAGCAGGGGAAGGATGACCCAGGCACCCAGTGGCTTGAACTAACAAGTCTAGTCGTCCGTCATCACGTCACACTGAGCTCATATGGAAGCCAGCCCTTCGCGCCATTGGAGACCGTCCACAACGACTGGGGATCAACCGGGTCCTGGGGAACCGGCTGAGAGCACCCAGGGGCCCATCTCTCGTCGAGATTGCCTCGACGAGTTGAGAGCCTGGGGGGGCCATGTATCGCCGTCATAACCTCGACGGGTTCATCTCGAGGAAGAGGAGTGAGAGGACGGCGATGGGTGGTCGAACAGGTCTTGGGGAACTGGCTGAGAGCAGGGACTCATAGTGTATCTCGCCGAGATCATCTTGACGATACCAGCTCGAGCAAGAGGAGTCAGATGACAACGATTGGGTACCAAACATGTCCTGGGGAACCGGCTGAGAGTCTGGGGGGAGTCCATATTTCGTCGAGATAACCTCGACGAGATCAGCTCGAAGAAGAGGAGTAAGAGGACGGCGATGGGGGAT